TATATATATATATATATATATATATATATATATATATATATATATATATATATATATATATATATAAATAAATAATTTGACGCTCCCTAGTGTGTGGACTGATGTTGTGTTGTGGAAAAGAACCGATGATCTCCTGATAAGGTTTTATCCTATGTGGAGAATATCCCATTTAACAAATTACACCAATAGCATGCATTCCAACTTGTAGGAAACTGAAATGTTTCAAAAGACAATATTTTGTGTTATTCCTATTTTAATGTTTTAAAGTTCTGTCTGACTGTCTTTACAGTTGAGCTTGATTTCCTTAACTGATTAATGTTTTAAACCTTAATTGTGGGGCGTGCCACAGTGATTTATATTATGATACTTTTGCACTTTCTGTCACTCTCTTTTTATTGTTACAACTGCAGCGACTTGTTACTGTTAACTATATTTTCTGATGGAGAATGAAAATCTGATTTCCTTTTATGTATTTTGCAGGAAGTCATTGATTTGACAAAAGACCTCCTGACCTCACAGCCGGCAGAGACTGTTGCCAAAACAAGTGGCTCGGACACAGTTCCTGTGAAGCATGGCTGGAAAGTGGGAGACAAGTGTCTGGCTATGTGGAGTCAGGACGGACAGTGAGTGTCAGCAGCCTCTTTAAATGAAAACATTATGTGTGTCCACATACTTTTTATAGCGCTGCAATTTAAACCCTCATCTGATTTGTAGTAGCTGTTTTATTATTTACTTTATTATTTTTGTAGATGCATGTTAGTCGCACATGTCAAATACCTACATTTCCAACTGTACTTGTTCAGTGAGTCAAGGAAATGAGATTATTTATACTGATATGGGACAGCATTGTAAAAACAATATTATAAGCAACAATTTTAGATTTAAATCCACACATTTAGCCATGTTCAAGGAAACAAGTGTACAGTTTTTTTTATAAATATATATTGTAAAAATGGAAAATGGTGTAAGATGTGTAGTTGTATTTAACAGACAGATTATATGTTAGTTTTAGGCTTTACTTATAAAGTAGACCTGGCGTATTTGGCTCATACTCACCTGCTTACAGACGGGATTTTTTTGCAGGATTTATGAAGCGGAGATTGAGGAGATAGACCGAGACAACGGCACTGCAGCCGTTACCTTCACTGGATATGGGAATGCTGAAGTGATTCCTCTACAGAACCTCAAGGCAGTAGAGGAAGGAAAGCTTTTGGAGGAGGATGGGAGTATGAAGCCAAAGTCGAGGTATGAACAAACTCTTCTCTAACTCACTCAATGAAACTCTGTGCATATAAAACTGAACTTAAATCAAGGACAGGAATGGGAACAACTGTAATCAACCATACGGACAATTGAGACACAATTAAATGATTTAAAGCTTTAGAACTAACAACACAAGAACTTTGAAGAATTGGTGCTGCATAACTCAAAGTGATTGAAGCCGAACTTAGCTTAGCTCAGTGGTTCCCAAACTTTTTTTTGCTGGGCCCCCCTTTGTTTTACAAGAATAGACAGGGGGAACAAATCGTGGCAGGATGAGCCTGATATTATTTGTATCCCGCTGTAACTTTACTGTATAAAGAGCTAACATCTCCAAAATGTCCAGAGTAGTTAGTCATTACAACAAGTGTTTGTGAACTAAAAATCAAGAATGTGGGATACTGTTTGTCTGTGATTTGAAGAGCCCAGCGCGTGCTCCCGACGCAAGGGAAACCAATTCTGCCGTTGAGACCTACCTTAGCACTTGTGCAGGTGAAACGAAAGGGTAGATATGCTTCACCATATTTTCTAGTCTTTGGCTAAGAATGAAGTTGGTTTGGAAACATATTCAGCGATGCTTCATCTCCTGCTTTGCGTTTCTGTGGGCGCCCCGTACTAGCAGTGTCCAAGCGTTGTTTTGTTTTTTTTCCTTTTCATACCACGCCGGGCCCCACACTTTGGGAAGGTCTGGTTTAGCTAATCTTATTAAAAGAAAATAACAAAATTAAACTTAACTGCATGCTACTTAACACAAAAGGATGTAGCGCCATTAGAAAAAAAGTTTGTTAGGAAAAAACAATATAGAATTTTACTATCAAGCTATGGGTAACTTTTGCATCAACCGTACAGAGCAATGAAAAAGGGCAGCAAACTGCTAACAGTAAATTATAGGAACCTAAAATGATAGCTTAGCAGCCCTAAAGCAGCTGCGGCAATTAGTGTTGACGCTTGACTGGACCGTGGGACTGAAGCGGTCCAGTCAGTTGTTTTTGAAGGCAGGATGAGAAACAAGTGCAAGTACAAATCGGTAGCAGAGGCCTGCGCACACTAATTAGTCTATAAAATGGGTAAAGTGGGACTACATATGCAAATTAGCTTAAGCTAACTCTGGTACAATGCCTGGAATGGCAACATTTTGTTAATATTGTACATATTACCTTTTCAGATAAAATTAATTATTGATGATGATGATGATGATAATAATAATAATAATAATAATAATAATGATGATGATGATGATGACGGGGGTGACCGTGGTTCAGGGAATTATCATTCCCTGATAATGACCGTGGTTCAGGGGGTTGGGTCTGGAAGCTCATCTTGTAACCGGAAGGTTGCCGGTTCGATCCCCAACTCTGTCTGTAGCTGGTTGTTGTGTCCTTGGGCAAGACACTTCACCCTACCGCCTACTGGTGTTGGCCAGAGGGGCCGATGACGCGATATAGCAGCCTCACTTCTGTCAGTCTGCCCCAGGGCAGCTGTGGCTATAAATGTGGTTTGCCTCCATCAGTGTGTGAATGTGAGAGTGAATGAATAGTGGAATTGTAAAGCACTTTGAGTGTCTAGAGAAGCGCTATATAAATGCAAACCATTATTATTATTATTATTATTATTATTATTATTATTATTATTATTATTATAAGAAGACAATAGGAAATTCTACTATTATCCATGAAAAAAAGTTTCTTATTTAACCATCAGTTTAAAACAGTGCATATATCTGTAGCAATTAGCTTTATTAGTAGAAACACATCAATCTCTACTAATAAAGAAGAAAGTAGAAAAATAAGATTGTTTCTATAAACGAGGGCTAAAATTCGAGGGACCGGAACTGGCAAATTTCCAGTATTCTTGTTCTGGAGTCGTCATTAATTGGTCATATGGCTGATTAAGAACTGGTCTGCTTCAATCATACACAACTTGCGCACAGCAGCGCAGACAAATAGTCACTTCTGCAGTCACAGCCATATGCTAACAAAGCTTGGAAGTAAGTTTGCCAAAGACCGCTGTGAAAACCTTTGTAACAACAAACCTAATCAGACAGCTAAATGTGGACACTAAAGAAATTAACAGAGGGAAAGTAGCTCAAAGTATCAAGGACTCAAAGCCAGCCACAAGACAGCAGTCTCAGCAAGAGCAAGGGATTTAAGCTGTTAAAAGGAAAATGGTGGAGATGAATATAAACAAGAAAAGGGACAGTGTCCTGCTACCAGGCAAATTTATAGGCACATTGTAAAATGATGCAAGTATCTGAAAGTCTTTTGCTGAATAGATCTGCTGCACCTGCTTTTGGCTGGTAAGGTAAAATCTGTCAGATTCAGTTGGGTGTACAGCAACACACAGTTAATTCTTTTTGTACCGCTTTCCAGTAGCAGAGCACTTTATTTTCAATAAAGTGAGAAAACAACCCTTAATTTACAGCAGTTAAAGGAAAATTCTCCCCATCTAATAAGCTCTTTATTATGAAATATGTTTTGTCTCTCTAGGAAAGAGCAGATAGCAGAGCAGAGGGAGTATAAAAAGAAGAAAGCTCAGAAGAAGGTACAGAGGATGAAGGAGCTGGAGCAAGAACGAGAGGAGCAAAAGTCAAAGTGGCAGCAGTTCAACAACAAAGCCTACTCAAAGAACAAGAAAGGCCAGGTAAGTTAGGCTAGTGTTAGAAAACCAAGATATCGGCTTGAAACTAGTGACATGTGTCCATAGGTTACTGTTAAGTTCTTTGTAATGCATAATTAATACAAATTTTCCAGTACTACATTGTTGCAACAGCTACTAATGTTGATTTCCATGTGCTTTTGTTTATTCTAGGTGAAGAGGAGCATATTTGCATCTCCAGAAAGCGTCAACGGCAAGGTGGGAGTGGGAACGTGTGGTATTGCAGACAAGCCTATGACCCAGTACCATGACACGTCCAAATACAATGTCAGACATCTAATGCCACAATGACCTGATATGACCTGTACATAATAGTCCACTGTATACTAGCTGTATCAGTGCTTTCCATTGTGTTTATACATGATTTAAGTTTCTCGAGTAAAGTAAGCTTTGAAAGTAAGTGCTTGCACACCAATGTTTTGAAATATTGTTGTAGTTTCATATATATATATATATTATTATTATTATTGTTAGGCACAACAAATACAATCCATATGAGGGACTTGCCCTCCATTGGAGCAAGGTCATCTATTATGTAAGAAAAGGAAATGGTGTTTTAGAAAAGCCATAGAGTTTGCGGTTTGTCCACTGAGGCCAAATACCATCTGTTTTATTTATAAACATGCGCCTGTCGATGTGGTTTTTGCATTTGAGGCTGGATTTTAAACATTAACGTGTTCTAGGAAAGTCTGAATTAATAATGGTGTTGATTTTGAGTTGGCTGAATTTAAGTTTTCCCTCATGTACATATAACAGTGAAATAAACATTGTTTTCAGTTTTTAAAGATTTGATCCTTTACATCATTTCACCATCTCAGCAGTGTATTTTAGTCGTGGCCCCGTCAGGTCCTGTAGGTGGTGGCAAAGCGATGTCGTCAACATCAGGTTGCAGCTGTGAATACAACCGATTTTCTCATTTGAGTAACATGATTTTTTTTTTTTTTTTTCTCTTTTCTCATGTTAGATGCTCAACATTGGCAAACTGGCTACACCACAGACCTGACTTTCATGTGAAACTTGCTCTGTTCTAATACAACTCTTATGACTTTATTGAACGTTAAAAGTAGGGATTAAAATAGACAGGATTGGGGTTTTTCTGTGTAGAGGTTTATTAAGATTTCAAGGGTAGTTATCAGGAACTGTAACAAAGCAGGGGACCAGCAGCACATGTTTTGCAAAAAAGTCACCTTGGATGGCTGATTAAGCACAAGAAAAACATTCTGGGGGTGTGCTTCAACGTACTTCCTTAACAAAAGTCATTTTCATAGTGCATTTTATAGTTTCCCAAACATGTTGGGGGTTACAGGTGCAAGAGTCATATACCCACTTTAAGACACAATTTGGTGGTGATCTACTTAGAAACTGGATCAGAAGAATGCAGATAAATGGTCTCATTTGGTTTCATGGATTTGAATAGCTCAGCAGTGCAATTCTTTGCGTCAAATACACATCAAATTATCAAGTCTCCAGATTTCAAGGATTTTAGCTTTTTCTGCTACGATACAAACAAAAAAGTTAAACAATGAAGTACAAACCAAAATCTGTGGTGTTTATGTGGTTCATGCTACACACATGGTTGTAAGACTCAATCCAAAGCACATTACAACATGATTAGAAAGGCTACATTCAAATACACATGCACCATAGCGTTTCGAGTCCATTACAATCATTTCACTGTTGATTATGAATAGCTGGTACTACCGCTGGAGCAAGTGGAAAACTATAATTTGGAGTTGGACGGACAGAATAATGTGCTAAACCCAGCCAACACTGAAGATCTATTAAAACTAGAGGCATTATTGCTTGAGCTTTGTGCTTGGACAAGTGCGGGATAGCTTATTACTGTCTAAAAAAAATTTAATTCACGCACAGTGTGAAAGCATTTCGAGTAATGCATTAAACTAGCACTGCTTCATTGGGGATTTTACATCATGTAAGTTTGGTAAACATTTAGAAACAGAAAATAATAAAAGAATTTAACAGCAAGGGTTTTTTTTCCCATTCAAGCATGACCAAGACCTAGCTACAGTACAATTAAATATACCAAAAATAAATATTATATGCAAAATAAATTAGAATAACAAGGGTGGACTGCACCACCTCTCTGTATCTGACTGTATGTCACTTAAGAAGAGGGACGCCACATGGATCGATGATGTTGGTGGGTCCTAAAGCAGAGGTTATAGAAGTATGATAAACATTTTGGAATGCAGACATTTTAGCCCTTTCCTCTGACTTGGACACTGACAAGAAGTGCTATCTGGATACATTATCCAAAGAAAAAGGGCCATGTTTTTTTTGTTTTTACAAGGCAATGGAGCGAACGTTCCCAATGGTGAGTTTCTAGCTGGTATTTGGGATTTTTTGTCTGTTTTGCTGGTTTCTGAGGATCAACTTCACTAAAGGTACAGTTTAGCCTTTAGTGTTTGACACAGGTGCATTCATGGGTCCTCTAAAGGATCACTATCAAGTGCAGGTATGGCGGCTTCAAGCTGGTAATGGGTAAAGGGACATTCGGGTGATTGATTAAGTCATCTTTTAAAGTAAGGAAACCGTATATTGCTGGAGATTTGTGGTTGTGTAAATTGGAGCCGCTTGGTTTTTGGAAGGAGACTGTTTTAGACTTTCAGACTTGAGCTGAACTTAAGGCTGGTTCTTGGGTGGAGATGTTTCATTTGTCAGGTAAAGATAGGATAGGGGCTGGTTCTTCTGATGACAGATTAGCTAAACGGTAAGGGAGACTGGAGCTGTAGGCTGGTACTTTGACAGGTAAAAGCCATAAAAGACTGCAGCTTAATGAAAGTATAGGCTGGTGCTTTAAGCAGAAAAGGCCAGTTTCAGGCTGCAAGTGGAGTAGCCCTCATCACTGGCGGAGCTCTGCCGGCTGCTATGGTCATCCAGGTCGCTTGCACCACTGGTGCTTACACTGTCCATTTCTCCATGGGAGAACTCAGTGCTTTCCACATCAACTTCAATTTCCTCTGCTCAAACACACACAGACACATAAAAAAAGCCAATGAATACAAATCAGTCTCTGCATTTGAAATGAAATGAAGCCTTTAGTGCAAGTACTAACCTCTGTCAGACTCTGAGCGATCAGAGTCCATGCGGGAACCCAGGCTGTCCGTACGAACGCGCTCCCACTCTCCGTGGGTCTGCAGCAGAGCTAGCTGCCTCTGCAGGTGCCTTTGCTCCCTCTCTAAGGTCTCCAGCTGGTGCTGACTCCTCCGGTCTATCTCTTCAAGTTTCTAAAAAGTGGCACGAGTAAGAATTAAAAGCACTGCATTATGCAGAAACCTAACAACAATGTCAGGCGATCTGTGAGGTTCTTAACCATCCCAGTCAGTGTTTTCAAAAAGCATTTTCAAAGATATCGTTATCACTACACCTCTGTAAATGTTCCTCATGTTTAACATAATATGGAAAGCATGGCAGAATTCTCATGTATGCAGCGAGTTGATAATGTGGTAATATGTACATATATATGGCTGCTGTAAAATGCGATATTTCCAATAAATTATTTAACACAGTGACAGCAAGTTGCTGGATGGGATCTAAGGGAATAGATGGTGCCTGTGTGTGGTGGATAAAAGTGAAATATGGCTGGATGGAGAAGGAAGAGAATTCATTTTATGAGCTTCGCTATACAAATGAATCTAAAGGTCACCCCGTCCTGCTTTGGACAAGAGCGTTTTGCTTTTGGCCCTCTTAGTTTTAATTTATGCATTTAACCTTCGCCAACTTGGACTCCAGTCCAGTTTAGGTCCACTTATGATTTCCAGTAGTTCTTGTTGGATGTGTGTACTTTAAGTTGTTTACTGCAATTGTAGCTGTTAAGCTAAGAAATAACCAAAGTCCTGAAATTCAATTATGAACCTCTGTAATTATACGGATATAAGATCACATAATCCCGGTCATTACGCCCAGTTGTCCCATGAATCAAAGCTCATGTATGGAACTATAGCAGCACAGTCTGGATAATTTGCACACAAACCAGCAGTTGAACAAGATTTGCTGCTTATGTGTACATTGAAACTAATGTAATTTCTCCACAGCTGCACATTTATAGTTCCAAGTGGCAGAATGTGTAAAATGAACAGTGATTTTGGGGGAAAGTAATTCACTGAAAAAGGACTGCTTTTCCTATTGGCAAAAGCTGTGTATTACATTTCATGTAATGTCCCCTATTATATTGTTAAGATAATAAGCATTTGGGACATATTAGCTTGAAATATAAATAAAGATTTATTTGGCTGTGACACCTGCTTCATTTTACATAAATATGACAAAAATGTATTTGTGGTATTATATTATGAAGGGTAAGACTTTTGACCTGCTAGTTCTGAGTAACGTTTAAATAGACTTGTGTTTGTATAATTGAATTTGGTATAATGGAGCCTCCACATAAGTGACAGTAGTGCTAGCCTTTCTCTCTGCAGCTCAACAGAGCTTATTATTGGCTGCACCTGCTCCACCTTTTATTGTACTGCACAACCCCTGGTTCCAAAAATACAAAGCAGCAGCATTCAAAAGCCTCATTTCCTGGATGTGAAACAGGCAAGTCCAAAGTCAACAGCTGACATCTTAGGTACTTTACTCACTAACCCCGACTGTGATAAACTCTCAGAGTCTGTTGCCAAGCCAGGATTGCTTTCATATTGTAGCCTTTAGTCATTCTTTAGCTGTTGCTCACAGCTGGAAACTGTACAGACGGGGCAAAAAAACAGCACCAATCTTTCCACCAAAGTTTGATCTGAGTTTGCTTGCTGTACTCAGGGGAGCCATTGCATTGAATGTTTGAAATCTTTAAGTCTCTTTTAGTTCAGTCAGTCAACTAGTTTTAATAGCAGGATAGCTGCAGTGCTCCTAAGTCCAAGGTTAAGTGTCCCATTCTGATGTTATCCTGCAGTGTTAAAGACACAAGTTCTAATCAAAGACTTACCAAGGCTCAAAACCTTGCAAAAGTGAGCCCTGCAAACATCCCCAGGGAGATTTTTTCAAAGGGGAAGAAAAACTCAAACAACCACACAGCAGCTGCCTTAAGGTCCAATCATCTCGGGGTTCTGGGAAAAGTGACTCTGCTTGAAAAATCCCTACTTTACATGTAAACCATAAGCGCGCAAGCATTTAGCGTTGCTTTATTGCCAGTTTATGATAAATGTTGTGTTTATCTAGTCGTATCTTCTCCTTTCCTAGTGTTTGAACTGAGTCAGTTACAATTAAAATCAAACCTTTTCATCCTGCAGCGGCTGCTGGAAATAACACAGCTCTCTCCCCCTGTTTGAGCCAATATACAAAGCAATTTGCTGTAAACAGAATGCCGGCACTGCTGTTGACAGCAACAGGCCTTTTCTTTTTCTTTTATTATTCTTTTTTGTTACTGATAATTACCCATGACTGAATTTAGTTGCTTTGGTTTCAGGGTCCTGCTCTTAGTCACACTTTGCCTGTATCCAGGCCTTTGAATCTCACCACTTTGCAGAAACACAGCAGACAGTTCTGTTTGATTTCAGGCCAGTTCATGCTGGCTCGCCGTCACACCGCTATGGCTTGCTGGGACACATTATGTTATTAGTATCACCTGTGTTTTTCGTGCTACGACAAGTCAAAGCCCCTGCTGTGAATAAGGCCTTTTTCGGCATGTTGACTAAACGGTTATCTTGTTGCTGCTGCTTTCCCAAAACGATATTAACCAAACTATTAACACGTCGGCAGTCAGGCAGAAAAAGCTCGATGTCAGTATGGTTGCATTACTACTTTTGAGAGGAAATCAGCTCTTAGTCCCATTACAGCGCCACACTCCTCCCTTAGACTACCACACCTTGATATGTGCTTTGGCCTTGTTGAGCAGTCCCAGAGTGGTATGCCGACTGCAGTCTGGTCCCAGAGGAATGAGGGACTTCAACCTCTCCAAGCACAGACGAAGATGTGCTCGCCTGTAAATGACATAGAGCAATCTGCATTATTCAACATAATACATGAACAGAAAACTGACTGATGAATTTGCACAGTAATCTATTAATTTGCACTGATCCTCATCCGGTCAGATTATTACCTCCTCATCCAATTTGATTTGTATCTTATTAGAAAAAGCAAAAACTACTTGATTGTTCCTCATCAATTCTATTCAGGATGATGAGTGATGTAAGTGTTAATGGATCCTGGCACTTTATCTGTTTATCCCTTTTGCTCATAAGCTATGCCATCTGACTCCCTTACAATTAAATATGGATCTGTCTGGTCCCAGATTTAAAAACTGCCGAGGTCAGCCTGATATTCTATTTCTGATCCACCAAAGCCTCTGAGCCTGTGGTCTGAATGAATGCAGAAACTGGCAAAGGACACTCACTATCCTTTCAAAAAAATGGTGTAAAATGTAGGTCAAGTCATGATGTCATCTCTTTTCTTCTGCATTGGCCACCATTTTGTAATAGAAAACAGTCCTTTATGAGCCTTCTTGAAGATGCTCTCTTCCTCTTTTCATTTATCATTTAAAGTGAGAATATGTCACACATGGCTGGGCATTTAATTTTAGGATAAATGTGTCCTGACATTTGTTTCAGAGCAGAGGCTGCCTCATCCTGGAGCTACAGACGCAAGCTGCAGTTAGACCTGCAGCTGAGAATCTCTCACGAAGGAGCCCTGTTGTCTGGAAACAGACGGTTCCCATTTGCTGACTGGGGAAATGTCTGCACGTCCTCTAGGAACAGTGCTGCTTACATCTCCCTTATATTTGCCTCGCAAAACGCACTCTCCTATCACACACAACTCATGAAATATCCGAGTTGTTGATAAAAAGGTCTTTTTTTATAATCCCATGATGATACCATGCTGACTTATAGAACTCTGGTGCGAGTCATGTTGAAAATGCATGGCCAACATATTTAGCATATGACTTAGATATGCAAACAGTTTGAAGCTCCATTTCGAAACAACCGACTGTTGAGATAAACTGCCACAGACGATTAACAACTATGGGCGTGTTGTTGGGTTTTTTTCCATCCTTCATCCTCACAGTCAACTTGTTATGCATAGGTAGCAACGAAGGAAGTATGACTCGCAATATTTCATTGTCTTTATTTTACCCTCTTTAGTGCAGTCTTCACCTGTCTGCATTATGTGTTTATAACCTAAACATGCATATAAGTGACCTCCTCTGTGATTTTTCACTCACCTGTTCTTTTCCAGTTCATTGTGTGCCGACCTGTTGAAAATAGGTATATAAATATATAACCAGAACGGTCACATGGCTTAAATATGCAAAATACAGCATATGCATATAAATATATTTCCAGACTTTAACCTACCTATTGTGAATATTGTCCAGTTTCCTGTTCTTTAATTTGCGTTGTTTCTGTTGAAGTGAAATCTGGGTTGCGGGGTATGTTGAAGCATACCCGTGCTCACATTCTGGTGATAGAAGAAAAAAGATAAAGAGGATTAAATATGCTACAAGGAAGAAGATGGTTGGATTTGAGCAATGGCAACACATCCTTGGAATGACTAAAATTCGGTGCAATGCACAAGCACACCTTAAAAAATGTCCATGCATATATACATATAGTTTCATTTAGAGCAAGTGAATTTAAACTTATCAAGAACAGTCCAGACTGAAGAGCAAACGCTTGGAAACAGCTCTCAAGCGAGAAGAATTTAACAAATCACACAAGAACTACTGTTCCCAGAAACCTCGCCAGACAAACTCCTGCACGCGATTGGTCAACTGCAGTGACACTCGCGTTGGAAACATGGATCCTGACCAATGAGAACTTTGCAATTTGTTCCATGTGGAAACCATGTGAACAACACATACAAGGAAGCAGATGCTGGCCGAGCAAACCCGCAGTTGGATTTCGAATTAGGAATTTTCATTGGAAATTAAAAAACCCACATTGCAGTCTAGATCAGAGAGGGCGTAAATGCGAGATTTCCGAGTGGATATGATATTTTAGGAGCGCAATCTTAAAATTAGCTGTGAGGGAATGATAGAAAAAAAGAAGTATAAACTGGATGTCTCGTGTCATAAACGTCTACATGTATGAACGTAAATGCGCACACATGCATGGCTGTGCTAGTTCATATAATGAATACACTGAACCGTGCGTTATGAGCCGGGCTGCGTCTCCCACGGTCTGCAAAAACACCGGTTTTAATGGGAGCGGATCGCTGCAAGGCTATTGTTGCGAGGCTGTCTCCGCTATGCGATTGTTTCCCGACTTCCAAATTTCGGTGATTTCTGGAGTTCTTCGAGTGGTCATATTACGCAGGATAAGAGTGAGGCCGATTGAGACGGCACGGTTTCCCAGTAGCAGGTAAAACATGACGGGCTGCTGTCGGGCTGCGCGTCTTTTGTCGCCTTCGCCTCTATTGTTGTCTGCTCGGCGCATTACGTGTTAATATCCCCTGCAGCCCGTGTTTACTTACTTCCGTTGTTCTTCTCAATGTTTTCAATGTAATTGGCTGCATCGAGCAGCACTTGCACGTTCTTCATAAAAGTGCCGATTTGGTCCATTGCGGAACATTTGGAGTATATAACGTCGCTGAAAGAATAGTCGGACATCTCTCCGAAATCCTGCTGGTCCATGGACGCATCAGACTCCGACATGACCTCTTCGGGTTTCAGCTCGCTGTGATGTCTCATGTACTTTACCATTTTTTCTGTTCTTTCTTTGTTTCTTTTTTTTTAACTTTAGGCTTTTGGGGGGGCTTTGACAAATACGCAGCGCTGAAATTGCTCTCCTTGTTCCGTCTGTGCGCTGAGCGGATGACTGAAATGAACTAGGCTGGATGGAATTGCAGTCCTTAGCCTCAGCCACTTGCCCTACTTGGTGGATAATCCCTCCCACTAACGCATGCACATTGCATTCATTGTCAACCGTGCCATAATAAATCCTCATTATCAATACTGCAAGAGAGTAACAAATAGCACACTTGTGTCCAGTGACATTCTGCAATAATGACTGCTTTCATTTGTAATAAAGCTGCATTATTTTAGCTGCCATAAACTGGATAATTATGACGAATGCTCCTTTTCCCACGTGCATTCAGTTATCTCTAAATATGTATGTGAACAGAGTTTAAAAGTGAAAAAGCATTAAGATCAAACGGCAGATCTAATCAATAGTTCAACCTGGATACCGGGGACAACTGCCAGGGTTGGTCTTGGTTATAAATATGTAATCACTTGGGGCTTTTGTGTTGTTAAAGGGCCCCACATGGTCCTGCTTCAATGCTGGAACCGCACTCTATTCCCACATGCTTTTAAATGTGCTCTGTAATTAACATCTTTACACATTTGTACACTGGGATAGCAGTTTAGAGAGCTACTTGTGTCGCTTTCATGTTGCACCGCGTTGTCATCCCATCCTCACAAAAAACAGATACCTGTGCGACATTTGAAAGCCGATTGAATGCAGTACAACTCAGGTGTTTGATGTGATAATTTTAGGTGATTCGTTTACTTCCTGCTGGATTGGAAAATTGAGTTTTGTCAGGGGAGTGCAGGTGGGGAGGGGGATTCTTGGCGTAAATCAAATGAACTCATATTAGTTCAGGTGCAGTTTGTTTGCCATTATTTGCATTTAATAATCTCATTGTTTGCCCCCCTCAGCCCCTCTGTGTGTCTTTTCCTGGTTCCAAAGCAGTCTAAACTCACATCGAGATTAAAAGGAAAGTTGCAAACAAGTGAAAGGATTTTTAGGAACAGGCACAGCCAATCCTTGTGTAGAAATGTCTTTACTTTACTAAACTTTAAAGTTATCTGCCATTTTCAAAAATTAACCTTGAAATTGAACCTTTTTCGAGCTTGATGCTCCACTTCTGTTGTCCCTTTTGAGAGATTAAGAAGTCATTTTGCCCCACACTGGGAGGAATGGAAGAGAACAGAGGGGGGAAAGGGACTGCCTTTACAAGGCCAGCCATGCGTGCAGGGCTGTGTTGTGCCTCTGAGACAATGGGTGCAGATGGCTGGCCCGCTGCAGATGTGGTCTGGCCTGTAACGGACGCCTGTGAGAGAGTACACCATCCCATAGAGGCTTTAATAAGCCTGGCGAGGCCTCTCACATAGACACTGAAACAGTGACGCACACTTCAGGGACACATATTCTTGCAAATACAGGTCTGTTTTGACTCATAGGCACTGCAGATTTCTCTCCTAATATGCAATAAGGCTTTTGTTACTGGAGCATGTTTAGCATATAAAACAACAACGCCAGTGTGCACTCAGACATCATCTACTGCTACGCACATGCTCAAAAGGACACACAAATAGAGTGAGACATGGACAGAGAGTTCAGTGGGGGATGGAAACTGACAGCATTTTACCAGGAAAAGACTCATCTGTGCTGTGAGGCTTGTGTGCAGACTGATTCTGCGTGCTGCACACTGATAGCGACTGTGGAAAGCTGACCCGCTGTAGGTTGGTGTAGAATGTGACCCCAACTGGAGTAATCTGAAAAGCCTGAGGATTACACCAGTGGCTCAGTTGTCACAGAGGAGGCAAAGTCACACAGTGCTGGAGTGTGTATAGGCTTGCTTTTATGAAAAAGAACATGACAAAAATCACACATAAGGGAGAATAATCCATTCTGGGTGTTGTCAAAAAGGCAAATATATTTATTTATTTTTTTAAATGCAGGGGACTCTATTTGATGTTACCCTGCTAAGATGATGTTTTCAGACTATCCATTGTACCACAGCAGTCTCCCGTTGTTTCAAAACAATAGCTGCACTTTGCCCCGAGGTCACAGTAGGACAATAAAGCAGACCAGACGTGTGTCACCTGCTCCGTCCTCTCCTTAGCACTGTCAGGATGTGGATGAGGTCAGCGGCAAGCTTTCCCCCCCTTATTTATTCTTAATAACCATCAGTCTTTGTTTTTACATTAAACTTAAAATCATGTTTATGTTTTCTTAATTATCTAATTTTATTGTTGTTGGTGGTGGTTTTACACAGTTAAATGCACTGCCTTAAAACTTTTCTCCCTATTACATCTCATAGAAGGTGAGATGTGTGTGTGTGTGGTTTGGGGTTTGGTGGAGGTTCAGATCCTGTCACTCCCCCCCAACATGAACACCTGTTGGAGACACCAAATCCTCTCTTTGTCTCTGCATCTCCCCCCTCTCAGTGGATTACTATGACAACGCCCATTCATATCATGGCTGAATGCTGATTATACAGCTTCACACAATTATCTCTGAATAGAATATATTGTTTTAGGGGAGCTCGCTTTTTGTTTTTTGAAATTAGATGCAGAGGCTGTGTAAACAGTTCCCAAGATGTATTTAATATAAGAGGTGTTACTCCATCTGGTGAAAATGGTTCAAGTTTTGTGATGCATCACTGTCCAACAACATCAAAAATCTCCTCATGTTTAACTGATTCCCATGTAAGTACTCCACAGGGTATTTGTGCATACTTCTGCAGTAGCCAGTAGGTTTGTGAAGAGGCGATCAGCTAACTAAAAGACAACATAAAATTACAATTTAATCATAGAATTAAGTAGATCTAGACAAGTTTGTGCATCAAGGTCATAATTAACAAAAGCAACCAGGAAACAGCTAAAAGTAAGACTGAAATCATAAAAACAAATAAGTAATACATTTTTTTAAAATGAAATGGCAAGCTAAAACTATGGATAACTAGCTAAGATTGTTCACTAGTATAAATAAGTTCCTGACATTGTTTCCCAAAAGTAAACAGGCATTTAAAATGGTTTGCTAAAAATCTTGGCTAACCAGTTAAAATAGCAAAATATTAGCATGGATAAACTGTTGAAACTGTGAAAGTAAAGTTAAAAGAAAGAAATGCTTTATCCAAAATTTAGAAAATACTTTTATTAGAGCAATTAATAAACAAAAATATAAATACATAAAAATCATATGTGGCTAAATAAAATAATAAAAACAAAACTCTATAGTGCTAGCTAAATGCTATAGAGTCACAGTTTGAATAAGAGTATTGATAAACAGTTAAAATTGTTAGCCAACAGTATGGATAACAGATGTATAAAGACATGGATTAACTTTTGAAGAATTGGCTAACAGTATAAACTGCAGTAATCATATTAAGAAAGTACAACCTCTTTTAAATGAGACATGAAAATATCTTGGCTTTTAACAGATCTTATAATGTGATCAATGTAGTCTCACATGAACAACAACACATTACATATTATGGCTTGTAATTATTTATTTATCAAAAACTGAGCTGAAATTTAGCACTGATGAAAAACTAAACACACCCCTACTTCTTCCATAGGAATTAAAAGTAGGAGCTATCTGCTGCTAATTAGTAAGTATGAACACCTCCAGTAAAAACAGTCGTTTTTGGCAGTTTGACGGTCTGGAGCAGTCGGTTGTGTTGCTAACGATCTTAGAGAAGCAATTGTTGCCGCTGAACAATCGCCGATGGGTTATAAGACAATTTCAAGACAACTAACAAAAACCCAAGAGGTGTATTTCGGACTCAGTTACACTGCAGGCTTCAGTTAGCATGTTAAATGTTAAAGATCATGAAAGTACAAAAAGAAAACAAATGAAAGTGTGGTTTGTATGAAAAGCTATGGAGTTCCCAGGAGAACGCCTCTACCCTTTAAAAAAGTTGCATGTCAGCAACTCATAAGATGTCTGGAACAATGGCTTTTGGATACACAACAACAAGGTGGAGTTATGTGGTTATTGCGCAGCTCGACACTTGGAGAGAACCAAAACAGCAAGGTGGTGGAGGGGTGATGATCGGGGCTTGTTTTGAAGTCAGATGATCTGGGCACCTTACAGTCATTGTGTCAGCCATGGACTCCTTTGTATACCAAAATATTCTAGAGTCAAATGTGAGGCCATCTGTTCAACTGCTAAAACTCAGAGTCGTACAACAGGACAATGATCCCACTGCAGCAAATCTACAACAGAATGGCTGCAGACCCAAAGAAGAGTACGCTTAAATTCCTCAGCAATTTCAGAGACTAAAGTCATGCAGGAAACAATTACAAGTTTTGCTGCTGAAGGCGTTGAATCATAGGAAGTACTTACTTTTGCACACACTGCTTCTGCATTTTGCTCAGTTAAAAAAAAATAATAGTGATGCAGTATAATAAATCTCATGTTGTTGCTCATTTGAAGTTGCATTTACTTAATTTTAAGGTCTAATAAGGACTAGATAATGTCCTGATATGTAATACTTTAGAAGTGGCAAATGGTGCACCTTTTACCACAAGTGTGTGTAAAATGTTACAAAGCGGATTAACCGTTTAAATTTGTCACCAAGTCATGAAATAAATGACTGTTAAACAGAGTCATAGCTAAATGCAGTTGGTGAATAGTTTAAAGTTGTAGATATCTCAGTTTAAACATCAAACAGATCTAGTTTAAGATGAGTTCAAATAAAGCGATTTAATGACGAAAACAGTTCATGTAAAATTTTGACTGTATAACAATTCTGCGTGCAAAAAGATCGGGAACCACTGCTTTAAATGATCGAGCATCCTTCAGCTAATAACCGAGACAGAAACAGAACAGTTATGGAAACATATCCCAGCTTTTATTAAATCAGGTCATTAAATCAAGGCATTGTTAAAAGGCTGACTTTGAAGCAAGGCGACTGAAGAAAAAAAAAAAAAAGGTGATACAAACAGCAATGTAAACAACAGAGGAAGAACAGCATTAAGCACACTAATTACACAAGTAATACAGTTTGTAAACACAAAGCGCTCTGCATGTTCAGTAAATAAGGAGCTTAATTAAGGTGGGTAAAAACCCCCAAAAACAACAGAGGAAGTGTTAAAATATTGTTATTTGATTGTACTGTCACA